AAACCTGCGTCCTAATGACACTAGAGAAGTAAACCTGCGTCCTAATGACACTAGAGAAGTAAACCTGCGTCCTAATGACACTAGAGAAGTAAACCTGCGTCCTAATGACACTACAGAAGTAAACCTGCGTCCTAAGGACACTAGAAAAGTAAACCTGCGTCCTAATGACACTACAGAAGTAAACCTGCGTCGATACCTAGCTAACTACCTAGTACACTTAATCAGTTTGAAATCACACGATAAATTTATCTTAACGTTCGAGAGAGCAAAATGAATTGATTTTTGTATCTGTGCTTTCGCATTATGAAATACACCACGCAGTTACCATTGATTTGTTGTTCTATTTTCGTCTGTAATCAAAGTTAATTGTTCTATCAATTTCATTTAAGAAATTCTATATTTGATTGTGTAATGAAGTGATGAAGCTAAAGCAAGAACGGATTTCTTCGTATAATAAGGGTCTGGCCTGGCCTGGTGGTTAGGTGCTTCACTCGCAATCTGAGGGTTGTGGGTTCGAATCCCTTCACCGAAAATGCTGGCCCTTTCAGTTGTGGGGGCGTTATAAAGTGACGGTCAATCCCACTTTTCGTTGGTAAAGAGTAGTCCAGATTTGGCGGTGAGTGGTGTTGATTAGCTGCCTTCCCTCTAGCGTATTACTTCTAAATTAGGGACGACAAACACAAATAGCCTTCGAGTAGCTTTGCATGAAATTCCAAAAACAATCAAACCAAATCACTTAATTGATAATACTTTTCGTCTCAACTTTTTGCTCTTTCAGCTCCCTTGCTAGCAAAGATCGCTCCAGAAAAGCTCCTTGTGAACGCGGGTCGGTCGGCAACCTTAACGTGTAACGTGTCCGGGTTTCCAGTTGACACAGTCAGGTGGGTCAAAGATCAGCGCCCTCTAGAGCCAGATGGATTCAAGTTCCAATTACTAACACGTGATTCTCTTCACGTATCGTCCATTGGACGCGAAGATAAAGGAGTCTACCAATGCTACGTTAGTAACAAGGAAGACTCAGCACAAGCCTCACTGGAAATAGTTTTGAAAGGTAAAATGTCGTCTCTCAGTTTGTTTCATTTTGAATTAAGGAGATTTACGCTTAGACTTGGTGTTAAATAGATGGTACCTTAAATCAATAAACTTAAGTGAATTTCATTAAACGGTTCACAATTATTTTAAAAAAAAAGAATAAACTGTTACGTAATAGTCAGGTTTCCAAAGCAATAAACCAAAACGGAAACCAAATGGCGATTGTAATCAACACATTTTTAGCATCTGAACATATTCTTAGGTGATAGGTTTAAATAACCACTCGCAACTAGCGGTGTCTTACTACCCTAATCACAACTCAGTAAAGTAACGTTACCACCTCATGCTTTATGATACAACTACTGACATCAAAGGCCCGGCATGGCCAGGTGGTAAGGGCGCTTGACATGCAATCTGAGGGTCGCGGGTTCGAATACCCGTCCCACCAAACATGCTCGCCCTTTCAGCCGTGGGGACGTTATAATGTGACGATCAATTACACCATTCGTTGGTAAAAGAGTAGCCCAAGAGTTGGCGGTGGGTGGTGATGACTAGCTGCCTTCCCTCTAGTCTCTCACTGCTAAATTATGGAAGGCTAGCGCAGATAGCCCTCGTGTAGCTTTGCGCGAAATTCAAACAAACCTAACCAAACTGACATCAAATGTGGATTCAGTAAAGTAACGTAAACTCCTCATGTCTTACAATACAACTACTGACATCAAATGTGGATTCAGCATAGTAACGTAACCTCCTCATGTCTTACAATACAACTACTGACATCAAATGTGGATTCAGCATAGTAACGTAACCTCCTCATGTCTTACAATACAACTACTAACATCAAATGTGGATTCAGCATAGTAACGTAACCTCCTCATGTCTTACAATACAACTACTGACATCAAATGTGGATTCAGTAAAGTAACGTAAACTCCTCATGTCTTACAATACAACTACTGACATCAAATGTGGATTCAGTAAAGTAACGTAAGATAAACAACTCTTTCATTGCTATGTTTATAGATAAACAACTCTTTCATTGCTATGTTTATAGATAAACAACTCTTTCATTGCTATGTTTATAGATAAACAACTCTTTCATTGCTATGTTTATAGATAAACAACTCTTACATTGCTATGTTTATAGATAAACAACTCTTTCATTGCTGTGCTTATAGATAAACAACTCTTTCATTGCTATGTTTATAGATAAACAACTCTTTCATTGCTGTGCTTATAGATAAACAACTCTTTCATTGCTGTGCTTATAGATAAACAACTCTTTCATTGCTATGTTTATAGATAAACAACTCTTTCATTGCTATGTTTATAGATAAACAACTCTTTCATTGCTGTGCTTATAGATAAACAACTCTTTCATTGGCTTGTGACAGACAAAAGATTTGTATCACAAAAAGACACATTTCATTACTTGAAACTAGTAAACTTTAGGAAGTTCAAAGTAAAGTACTTTTTTTTTTATGGCTGTACAAAATTCCAAATTTCCATGGCAGTTCTCTAGAAGCCTACATATACTTTCAGTGTAGTGAAAGAGTTAAAAGAAGCAGACTCTTTTAATTTAATAATTTGTTTGAAAGTTTTATGTAATTAATAATGTTATCTTCCGATCACAGTAAGCTGTGTATTGACAACGAAATCAAAAACCAACCTGGCGATCAATATAGCAAATTAAATATACTTTTCTTACATTTCTACTTATAAAGGTTAGAATGCATTGTTCCATCAGTGGGGTACCCTCGCTGTTAACGATTTTGTCGGCCGTAAACCCAATAATATCTTACGAAGTTCGGTCAGCTTAGGATATATTTGTTAGTCCTAAATACAAAGTATAAGCAAACAATACAGAACAGTCTTTATAGTGAAATTATAAAAATAAATGACAGATGAAAAAATAATAATAATTACTATATACTGACTTTTATAACCAATATTATCAATGAAATCACAAAATATTGTTTGTGTTGACGTTTCTTCATTATTTTAACGTGCATTTAATCCTTCTACAAAAATTGATTTTTACATTTTCAGAGACTGCTCCGATACTTCTTGAGACATTTACTAACCAGATTATGAAGCCAGGACCGACTGTATCTTTACGCTGCATAGCATCCGGGACTCCTCTTCCACAGGTCATGTGGTCTTTGGATGACTATTCTATTCCAGATAATGACAGGGTGCGCGTGGGAGATTATGTCAGCCGGGATGGAAGTGTAATCAGTTTTGTTAATATCACTAACGTTCAAGTTCAAGATGGCGGAACATACGAGTGCACTGCCAGAAATGACGTAGGAGAAATGCATCACTCGGCTCGTTTAAACGTAATAGGAGACCCAATAGTAAAACATATGCCGACTAAAGTCATAGTGTCAGGAGAAAATGGCATCCTTCAGTGTCGTATTGCTGGGTTCCCGATTAAATATATTTCCTGGGAAAAAGGTATGAAAACAGAATTAAAAATTATAATTATCAAACACCTATTTTATAATAGAAAAGTTTACCATATCCATTTCAATTTCATCTGTATCTAACTGTTTGTTTTTAAACAATGGCTATTAATTAATAGTCATAAATAAAAATAATTAAGAAATTAATAAACTCAACTGTGTTTAACAAATTGTCTAGAAGTAATAATTTTATAATCCTGAACACAAAAATCTTCACTAGTTAGTTACTCTCGTTCTTGGTTTAGGCCTACGTTAACGTACCAAGTTAGCACTGTAAAATAATCTTTATAGGTATATAAGTTAATAATTATATTAAACCGTATAACAAATAATTAATAAAACTTTACAGAAGAGCATCTTACGTTGTTACAGTCGTTCATCTGAAGATGAATTTTTGCACAGTTGAGAAGATAAAATAAATAGATCAAGCACTCTTTAATTTTTTCTTAAATTAAATTCTCGTCCTTAAATCGCGTTAGATCACTGTCTCATGAGCACGCGTAATAAAAATATATTATTTTCGTAATAAGTTTATAGGCCCGGCATGGCCAGGTGTTTAGGACACTCGACTCACAATCTGAGGGTCGCGGGTTCGAATCCGCATCCCACCAAGCATGCTCGCCCTTTCAGCCGTGGGGGCGTTATAATGTGACGAGCAATCCCACTATTCGTTGGTAAAAGAGTACCCCAAGAGTTGGCGGTGGGTGGTAATGACTAGCTGCCTTCCCTCTAGTCTTACACTGCTAAATTAGGGACGGTTAGCGCAGGTAGCCCTCGTGCAGCTTTGCGCGAAATTCAAAACAAACAAACCAAGTTTATAGTGTGAGTAAAGCCGTACAATACATGTATCAATTTCTCGTAACTTAAAATAGTTCAAACTTAAGAAATAATTTTGCAGCTTTCTGCTTGATGTACTTTTCTTTAAGTAGCTGGAACTTTATAACGTGACAGTTTGGTGTGTTTTGTTGTTACGTTATTCGTGTAAAGATGACTCCTAGTAAAACAAAATTCCTAACCCTTATAAATTTCATAAGTATAATTTGTGTTTTATATACATATATAGATAGGCGACAGCTTCCAGTTAACCGCCGCCAGGAGGTCTTTCCCAACGGTACTCTCGTCATAAGAGAAGTCCAGAAAACAAAAGACGATGGTGTCTATACATGTACAGCATCCAACGATCTGGGAACGAGTGCTTCGGGTGAGGTACACGTTCAAGTGAAAGGTACGTCTTGAAGCGAATAGATTCAGAATTTCGTTGTTTGTTGAAGTTTCAAGTCTCTTATTCTTAGTCAAACTTCTTGTAACCAACATATCTACTAAACTGTCCCTCTGTGATTAAGCAGCAAGCATGAGTTCAGTCCCTGCGGTAGCCCATTGTACAGCTTTGCTCTCGACAACAAACTAGTTATGTATTAAACTAACGAAATCAAAGCGACAATTACATCTAGATATGATAAATCTTGGTTTTTATAAAGGTCCATAAAGAATAACTTACTAAGTTTCTGGTGAATTTTTAAACCTTTAAGATATAAGATAATCGAATGCTTATCAAACGATAAATTGATACAAACTAGTAATCCTTCCAGTGAAGCCCATCGTTTTCCCATTTGCCTTCCCTACGAATGTGGAACGTGGAATGAAGTTCAGTATGGTTTGTTCTGTGGCGGCTGGAGATCCACCCATTGAGATTTCCTGGTTCAAAGATGGCGTATTTCTTTCAGCTAAAGACAACGTTACTGTAAAAACCGTGAGCGAAAACTCCCTGTTGCTGGCTATTGACAACGTAGGACTTCAACATAGAGGAGACTACACTTGTGTGGCAAGGAATGATGCTGGCGCTGTAAATCACACCAGTTCGTTAACAGTTCATGGTAAGTAGCTGTTCTGCCTTGTGTGGCAAGGAAAGATGGTGGCGCTGTAAATCACACCAGTTCGTTAACAGCTCATGGTAAGTAGCTGTTCTGCCTTGTGTGGCAAGGAAAGATGGTGGCGCTGTAAATCATACAAGTTCATGGTAAGTAGCTGTTCTGCCTTGTGTGGCAAGGAAAGATGGTGGCGCTGTAAATCACACCAGTTCGTTAACAGCTCATGGTAAGTAGCTGTTCTGCCTTGTGTGGTAAGGAAAGATGGTGGCGCTGTAAGTCACACCAGTTCGTTAACAGTTCATGGTAAGTAACTGTACTGACTTGTGTGGCAAGGAAAGATGCTGGCGCTGTAAATCACACCAGTTCGTTAACAGTTCATGGTAAGTAGCTGTTCTGCCTTGTATGGCAAGGAAAGGTGGTGGCGCTGTAAGTCACACTAGTTCGTTAACAGTTCATGGTAAGTAACTGTTCTGCCTTGTATGACAAGGAATGATGATGGCGCTGTAAGTCACACCAGTTTGTTAACAATTCATGGTGAGTAGCTGTTCAGTAGGTTAACTAACCCTCGACGATCTAAAATTTTAACCAATATCAATTATATTCATTTTAATTCCATCTTTTGTTATTGTTTTGTAGTGAAAAGACTAAGGTAAATTATTAATTAAAATTCAACACGTGAAACTTTTCGTTTTGTGCAAAACCTACATGACATGTTTTATGACATGAGTCCCCTTGTGGGACAGCGGTAAGTCTACGAATTTACAACGCCAAAATCAGGGGTTCGATTCCTCTTGGTGGAGATAGCAGATAACCCGATATGGCTTTGCTATAAAAACAAACACACTGTGACATGATTGCATAATTTAATTACTAACCCTCGGAAAAGATTGTTTTTGTTTCTTAATCAAATTGTTTTCTTGAAATATAAGTAAACTTAGGCCTATAATTTCTTCAAATTGTTTTCATGAAATATAAGTAAACATAGGCCTATAATTCGTAAAGGTATTGTACCTGAAATATAAGTAAAGTTAGGCTTATAATTTCTCCCAATTGTTTTCTTGAAATATAAGTAAACTTAGGCCTATAATTCGTAAAGGTATTGTACCTGAAATATAAGTAAAGTTAGGCCCATAATTTCTCCAAATTGTTTTCTTGAAATATAAGTAAACTTAGGCCTATAATTCGTAAAGGTATTATATCTGAAAATATAAGTAAAGTTAGGCTTATAATTTCCTCAAATTGTTTTCATGAAATATAAGTAAACTTAGGCCTATAATTCGTAAAGGTATTGTATCTGAAATATAAGTAAAGTTAGGTGTCACTTAGGAAGCTGTACAGGTTTAGTATCCTTATTGGAAAGGTCTGCTAGGATGATTCCGGTGATGGGAGGTCATCTTATAAGGATAGGTTAACTTATCTTCTCTTATTGAACTTTACAATGTTATCAGGTAGGTCAATAAGAAAAAAGTCTAATAGGACGAAAGGACACAAGTTTCAGATTTGAAAAAAAAAACAGTCTAGGCTCCAATTAAGAGAGTTTATATTTCTAACATGGTTATTGATTTATGAAATGAGTTGCTGTCAGGAATAACGGAGACCAGCACTATATAAGAGTTTAACAGGGTAATCGGCAACTTTCTGAAAAGTGGATTAAGAATTTTACATTACTAAAGGGAGGGTGTGCAAAAACAGTCTTGATGTAGCTGTGGTGTGTGTGAAATGACAGTCTTAATGCTGGTATGGTGGGTGTGAAAAGACAGTCTTGATGTTGGTATGGTGGGTGCGCAAAGACAGTCTTTATGCTGGTATGGAGGGTGTGAAAAGACAGTCTTGATGTAGCTATGGTGTGTGTGAAATGACAGTCTTAATGTTGGTATGGTGGGTGTGAAAAGACAGTCTTGATGTTGGTATGGTGGGTGGACAAGGATTATATCGAAGATGGTATGATGGATGTACAAGGACAGTTTTGGTGTTGGTATGGTGGGTGTGAAAAGACAGTCTTGATGTTGGTATGGTGGGTGGAGAAGCATTATGTCGAAGATGGTATGGTGGATGTGCAAGGCCAGTCTTGATGCTGGTATGGTTGGTGTACAAGACAATCATGAAGTTGGTATTGTTGGTGTACAAGACAGTCATGAAGTTGGTATTGTACATCATTGAACGTTTTATTACTATTATTTCTTTTGAAAAACAAAACCAACAAATATTGTTTTAAAATTTAAAAGATGGCGGTAATGAACGTATCAGTTTTTCATTTCTGAAGTTTATTGTTTACCCTATATGCTGTATTCGTTCATGAATGCATTAAAATTTTGCATTTAAGGCCTGGCATGGAATGATGGTTAGAGCAATCGGCTCGCAATCTGCGAGAAACAGGCTCAAATCCAGTCACTGAACGTGCTTTCCCTTTCATTTGTCTGGGCCTTATAATGTTACAATCAATCCCATTATTTAATTAGAGTAGCTCAAGAGTTGACAGTGGGTGGTGTTAACTAGCTGCCTTCTCTCCAGTCTATCACTTCAAGATTAGGGACGGCTAGCGCAGATAGCCCTCAAGTAACTTTGAGCAAAATTCAACAAACAACAGACTGTCTTTTACTTGGGTAAATTCTACTTGTTTGCTTTAGAAATGTTTTGAATCATCTGTACCGATGTGTTATTTCAGTTCAGAATAAAGTCACGTTTTTGTATTTGTTGATGTATAGCTTTTATTTTTTTTTTATAGGTCAATGCAATGGTTAAAATATTTCTTCTAAAAAACTAGTCTTGTTTAAGAAACTTAATTCTGATTCACATAAAAAAAATCGATAATTTATTTTTACATCCACCAATAAGTAAGCATGACACAACAAAAGCTATTGAAATTGGAACGAAACTACTCGGTTTAGTAGAGTAGAAATATTGCCCCAGGTTATATTGGGGTTGCCCCAGGTTATATTGGGGATGTTGTTTTCTGTTTCATTGCCTAAAGTCGGAATAAACAGAATTTTCAACGAGGTGTCAATGATTTCCAGTAGGCCTACCATAACTAACACATGTCGATATGTCAAATTTTGTAACCGTTATTCTTAGTTAACAGAAACTCACTAGCATATTCTCTTTTATACTGTCTCAAATGTGCGGGGAATTTAAACGTTCTTGAATATTTAATAAATTTGTCACTGTTAAATGACCTATAATATTTTTGTTCGTGTTATTATAATTTTCTTTTGATCCAGTTCCGCCATCCTGGCGAATAGAGCCACACGACGCCAGTGTGGTGGTAGGACAAAGTATCACTTTGGACTGTCAGTCCGACGGGTACCCTCCACCCAGGATTCGTTGGGAAAAGGCTCAAGGTAAGAATCACACATTTTATTTCACATAATTTAGTTTCTACTCGTGGGATAATTTTTCATATTACTTGGAAACTTAATTATAATTAGAAACGGTAGAAGTCTATAGTAGCTAAAAATGTAACACAAGAGTGAGGCGAAGATAGCTGAAATCAAAAGTATCTTTATAAAGTTAACATACATATATATATACATACTGGGTGTCCCAATAATACCTATCCACATTTCTGATGCTCATGTGACTGTGGTAAACGAACCTACAAGCCAGCAAATCATCTTTATTGATATTTCATACAACAACTTAACCGTACATAACACTCCTACATCAGTCCAACTTAACTGTATATACACTGCTACATCATTTCAACTTAACCGTACATAACACTGCTACATCATTTCAACTTAACCGTACATACACTGCTACATCATTTCAACTTAACCGTACATACACTGCTACATCATTTCAACTTAACCGTACATAACACTGCTACATCATTTCAACTTAACCGTACACACACTGCTACATCATTTCAACTTAACCGTACATAACACTGCTACATCATTTCAACTTAACCGTACATACACTGCTACATCATTTCAACTTAACCGTACATACACTGCTACATCATTTCAACTTAACCGTACACACACTGCTACATCATTTCAACATAACTGTACATACACTGCTACATCATTTGAGATGCTCAAACTGGGCTTCACCAACATTCTAACAATCATGACATCTACAACGGAATGCCTGACATACTGTTACACAATTGTGATCTGGCACTTCCAGTGGCACAACGGTATGTCTGCGAACTTACAACGCTAGAAACCGGGTTTCGATACCCGTGGTGGACAGAGCACAGATAGCCCGTTATGTAGCTTTGTGTTTAACTTCAAACAAACAAACTTATGATCTGTCGCTTTAATTAATTCGTCAATGGTTCGGGTTTATTTTTAGACTTCCAATATTATCTGAAATCGAAATTAAACTTATAGAATCGATATACAGAAGTTTCATAACTTAAAGGGTGGGTTCATGTTTTGTTGTTTTTTTTTGGGGGGGGGGGCACCCTGTATATACAATAGTACCATTCAACATGTACATCGATATGTTTGATATATTATCATTTTCATTTATATTATACAAATCGCCATCTGGCGGAATTGAAACGTAAATAATTTGAATACGTCACACAGCCGTACACGGTTCAAACGGTACTAACAATACTCACAACGCTAACATTCAGGGTGGACATACAGACAGTCCAATGTGGCTTTGAACCATAGGCACCAGTACTAACAATACTCACAACGCTAACATTCAGGGTTCAAATCCTCTCGATGGACACACAGATAGCCCAATGTGGCTTTGAACCATAGGCACCAGTACTAACAATACTTACAACGCTAACATTCAGGGTGGACATACAGACAGTCCAATGTGGCTTTGAACCATAGGCACCAGTACTAACAATACTTACAACGCTAACATTCAGGGTGGACATACAAACGGTCCAATGTGGCTTTGCTCTAAAACAAACAACAACTAATGACATTAAAAATAAATAATAGAAAAAAAGAGAATAATAATTTCATGACTTAATTCATGTTGAACTTAAAAAAATTAAACACATTATTTACTTTTGATTCAGCCTTAGTTTTACTTTCCGTATCTAAATTTTAAAGTCATGAATTTTTAAAAGTGTTTTGTGGGGAATTCCCAAACTAAGAAGGACTATAATCCATGGTTGGATCCGTCCCTCTAGTAAATAAACATAAAGTTAAATTAATATTATCTGTCATTACTATTATTATTTTATAACTAGAAATTAAATATAATTTTCAAATTTAGAAAATAAATACACTTATAATTTATTGGGTATTTCGTTATCGAGTAAGTCTTAATATTTGGTCCAGAATGTTAACAAATCGATGTTTACTTCGTCCTGATTTACGCTGACGAAGCAACAAATATTCACGCATTATTTTAGATGTAACATCTTTAACTAATGAGCTAGTCAACATCAAAACATTTTAAACTCCTCGGTTATTTTTAAACGCAGTTAAAAAAAACAAATGACGTCATATCATTCTCAAGTTTTTCTGATTGAAGATTTTGAACTGAGATATTTTTTTAATACATCCGAAATTGTTTCTTCAGTGATTTTTTTCCAGGGAATGATGATGAGGATACAAAAAAAGCTGAACCCTCGCGCTTCTTTTTTCTTTAGATATTGTCTTCTAGCGCATTACATCTGTAAATAAAGATGTAATAATCAGAGTAATATTACTTCTTCTCCATTCATATTCGCAGTTTATAATATGACACGGAGTTTTTGTGGGTCTGATATTTCTGATAATAATCTTTGTTCTGAGGATCAAGTCGAAATATACTATTAAATTGTGTAATGGAATATGTGGCGTTCTCTAGTGGTAGTAATGTGAACTCATTTTATACATTCAGAAAAAAATAATAATTATTATTATTTCATAAGAAAAAAGAAAATTTTTTGATTGGTTTAATCATATTGTGATCCACCTGTTGGCAATTTTTATACTATTCATGACCATTATGTAACGATTTTGTGCAAGTTGGTATCCATTTAGCTCTCTCTCTATCATGAATCTAGGTAACTAGAATATATTCGCCATTAGAGTAAGCTCGCGTGCAGTAATGTTTAAAACAGGAGGTATTACACGTTCACTTGTAACAAGAATCAGACAGAAAATAGATTATCTCGTGCATGATTTAATATATATATGTATGTATATATAATTCGTCGCATTGGACTTGACATCAACTTTAAATAACTTACACCATAGAAGACGCGTTTAATTACCAGTTGGTTCAAGCCTTCATTAATAAACTTAATTTAATGAAAGCGAGAACCAAAATAACACCGTCTTCATTTACAACTGCTGCTGTTTCTAGCATAGAATTACACAGTGTACAATCTGTGCTCTCTCCATGTCAGGAACCAAGCCCCGGATTTTAGCGTTATAAGTCCGAACTCCAACTCGGCTATAAAATACAGAAATAGCGACAACAAAGCTTTATATAACACAATTCAAGTAACTTAAAGAAAAGTTCGCCTTTTTTTTTTCGTCTCCAATGGAGTAAGTTTTGCAACTTATAACTGTAAAATTCAGGGCTCGATCCACGAGGAGGGGTGTCCAACACAGATAACCAATTATGGATCTTAACAACAAAGACACTCAATTTTATAAGTTTATTTTAAAAACAAAATGGCAACTTTGAAGATAAAAATCATCACTAAAAACATCATGCTGCTGATAAGCATGCCAGATAGGAGTTCCATAAAATGTGTTTTCAATGGTCTATTGTCTCTTATCTTTTCCACTATGTCTCTTATCTTTTTCTACTTAAACTTCTGATACGATCTTTTACTTGGACAGATTTACATTTCAAAAGAAGTCGTATAAATCGGTTTAGTACCCAGTTCATGGCAATAACGTCAATTATTGGAAAGTAACGTGTGTGTCAAAAGTTGACGGAGTGTGTGAAAGTTTACAAGGACCCCCCCCTCCCTTTATATACAGGGTGGGCCAAAAGTAGGGTTACAGTTATTCTATTATTTGTTTCTCCTTCACAATCACGTTCACCTGACCTGACACCAATGGATTTCTTCACCCCAAAATAGTCAAGAACTAAGG